AATCACCTTCGTAGCATCAAAAAACCATTTCTCATAAAACTTACATGATCCAAACACATTTATCAATTTAACCCAATAACTTTTTTGAGAAAATTACATCATAACATTTGAATGTCATGTTTTGACTCTTGAACGACCAACTTAGACATCTTCATGAATGAAAGTACTTTCATTGGAACATCTCTATAATCCGAATTGTATTTAAGAGAATAATTCAAGTTCATGACTTAATTCATAAGAATTAAATATCTATTCAATAATCTTTTTGAAAAGATGATAAAAATTTTAATACTAATTTGTAAATTATGCTCGCAAGCATCAAAAGATAAGCATTTGAATAAAAGCAATGGATCGTGCTCGAGAGAGCTAAAAATGTATAATCTCAATCATTACTTGGGGCATCTCATGACCCGATCCGAATAACTAAAAAAACTTAAGAGACAAGGCCAATGATTTAACCACTAGGATGAAATTCAATAACCGGTCAAACATTTAAGAATTAATCAAAACATCCAAAGTAGCTAAATTAGAATGAAGCAGTGGCTACCTTAAGAAAACCAAAAATCGATAATCTAGTATAGTTCGATTCAACTTCATTAGTAGTAATTTGATAAAAGAAAAGTTGAGCTTTCAAAGTATAACCTATGTTTCACACATGTAAGAAACTAACAATTACAATTAGTTTCATTGATGCATTTTAGGAACACACCTCGTTAACTTACCTAATACTTTTTGTACATCTTTTTTTATTGAATCACTTGTCAAGATTCGTTCCTTCAATCTCAATTTTAAAAAGAAAAAGATCATCCAAAATGATTCGTATGTCTTTTTTGAACAAATCACATGTCAAAGATTCTTTCTTCGATCTCGTTTTTCATAAAAAAAACATAAGAAAAAAAGATCACCCAAAGTGGTTCGTCATCTTTTTCAATCGGATCACCAAATAAGGTTCATTTCTCTAATCTTATTTTTTAAAAAGAAAAGGATCACCCAAAGCAATTCATATATCTTTTTCGATCGAATTACTTGTTAAAGGTTTGTTTCTCCAATCTTATTTTTCAAAAAATAAAAAGAAGAAAAAGAACACCCAAAAGCAATTTATATATTTTTTCGATCGAATCACCAATTAAAGGTTTGTTTCTCTAATCTTGATTTTCAAAAAAGAAAAAGATCACCTAAAGTGGTTCATATATCCTTTTTGATTGAATCACCTATCAAAGATTCATTTCTCTTATCTTGTTTTTCTAAAAAAGAGAAAGATCACCCAAAATCATTCATATATCTTTTTTGATTGGATCATCCGTTAAATGTTCTTTTCTCGCATCTTAATTTTCGGAAAAGAAAAAGATCATTCAAAGCAATTCGTATATCTTTTCCGATTGGACCACCTATCCAAGATTTGTTTCTCCGATCTCATTTTTCAATAATAAAAAAAAATCACCAAAAGTAGTTTGTATATCTTTTTCAATTAGATCACTCGCCAAAGAATTGTTTTTTTTAATTTGATTTTCAAAAAGAAAAAGGTCACCCAAAGTAGTTCATATATCTTTTTTTGATCATATCAACTATCAAAGGTTCGTTTCTCCGATATCATTTTAAAAAAAGAAAAAGATCACCCAAAGTGGTTTATATATCTTTTCGATCTAATTTTTTTATCAAATGTTTGTTTCTCCAATCTCTTTTTTCAAAAAAGAAAAAGATCACCCAAAATGGTTCATATATCTTTTTTAATCGGATTATCTATCAAAGGTTCGTTTGTTCGACTCATTTTTCAAAAAGAAAAAGATCACTCAAAGTGGTTCGTATATCTTTTTCAATCGGATCAAGTGTCAAATGTTGGTTTCTCCGATTTTATTTTTCAAATAAAGAAAAAGATCACTCAAAATAATTCGTATATCTTTTTTGGTTGGATCACATATCCAAGGTTTGTTTCTCTAATCTTATTTGAATATTGCGTTTTACTTTTTATGAGAGGCCACCTTGACAAGAAAGCCATTGCATTTTACTTTTCAAAGTAAGTTGTTCTTGACAACAAGGTCATCATATTGTACTTTACTTTTCGTGGTAGGCCATCCTTGACAATAAGACCATTGCATTTTATTTTTATAGATCAAACCCCCCACGTTAATCGTACCATTTATACCACTTGATTTTTTTTTAACTTTTTTTTTACAAACTCAATAAGCAAACCCAATCGAAGTTCGCACTTAAGTTAGCATTTTCACTCGTGAGCATTGTAAAAAGAAGACAACCGTCATAACCTAAATTTTGGATTATATATTTTTTCTTAATTTTATCCTTTTTAATTTATTTATTTATTGCTATCCTCCGTCATTTATTATTGTAGTTATTCCTTATTTTTATTTCATTTATTTATTTTTATTTTTATTTTATTTAATGTTAGTACTTACTATAAAAAAAGGGAGAAAAAAAATCGAAAGGCCAAAAAATATAAAAATACAAAATTGAGGGTTATGTTTGATTAGGGGCATAATTGTATTAAATCGACTTGAAATTGAAAGCTAATAGGGGTTAAATTGAACAAAAAATCAGGATGCATTAAGGATGTAATTGAAAGGAACCAAAGGACACGATTGAACATTTTTTTGAAAGTTGATGGATTGATTTAATAAATTATTGAAAATGAAAAATTGAGCTCCTTCGTTTCAAAATCGAAAATGGTTTTGATCGCTTTTGGTTGTTCAATGAATTTGATTCCCGACCAACTCACCAATCCTTCTCCTTTACTTGGTTCGCAAGTCGTGCTACAATAAGAACAAAAGATGAGGACGTTAGAGAAAATAACGGAATGAAAAGGCATGAGGTATTGATCGGACGAGTTTGAAATAAAAGAAAGAAATGGTGAATTGAGATATTTAGCAGGAAAATGGGTATAAATAAGAAAGGATTTTGGAGGATTATGAGAGATCGAAAAAGAAAAAAGAAAGAAAAACAAAGAGGATTTTGAGAGATTGGAGGAGATTGAGTTTCGGGTTTTAGATTGATCTTTTTGAGTTTGGCGAAAGGGAGTCGATTTTGGGTGTATAAAATTTTTGGGTTTTGAGAAGAGAAGATTTAGAGGGGAATTTAGAGAAAGGATTTTGAGGAAAAAAAGATTGATTCTAGGTTTAGTTCTCTAGGTTTAGAAAGAACAAGTTTGAATTTTAGTCGAAGTACTAGTTTTGTTTTTTTGGTTTAGAAGACCCACTTACTCCACAAACGTCTAAGCTCTATTTTTGGGCACATTTTAAGTCATTTTCCGAGTCTTGAACAAGCAAAAAATCTAGCCCTTACCATTGCTCCCAAATTCCCGCAAACGGAAGAAGAATAGTAGTCACAACCATTCAAATTTCTTTATTTTTTTCCTCATCCTTATTCAAGTTCATCGGGTATTCCATACATCATATTTTACATTTTAATTGTTAGCTCAATCCGGCATTTCATTTCTCGGATTTCAAAAGTTTCAAAGGAAAGGGAATGGTAAAGGCACTCGTCATTGCCATAGTGAGTCTTTGATGCTCAAACCCTTTAGGATGTTGATAATTGAGTAAGGGAGAGGTTTTTGTTTAGATATTAACTCTAAATCGTTGGTTCTCATCAATGGAGGTTTCTGCATGAGCAAGGCGGAATTCAATGAGAGGGGAAGGAAAGTGACCGAGAGAAGGAAAAGGAGAAAGAGGACGAAAAGAAAAGGAAGAAAAAGGAAGAAAAGGAAAGGAAATGAAACACGTTTGGACAAGGGAGAAAGAAAAAAAGAGAAAAAAAAAAAGGCTAGGCTGGGCTAAGAGGAAAATAGGCATAGTTTAAGCTAGATTGGAGAGAAGATGCATGGGTCGCTCGGTACTGGGCTAGGGTTTAGCTCGCTCAACCGGCCACCTAATGTGCGTAAGGCGTGCTTGGTCCAAAAGGCCAAAAAACTTTATTTATAGTCATTTTTCTAGGTAAATCGGCTTTGAATTTTCATACATGTCTTTTATTTTATGCCTAGTTTAAATTTAATTTTTTTTATTTTTTTGAGTTTCTTAGTCAATGTCTAGCTTTTATGCTTTATTTCAATAATTAGATTAGATAATTAATAGGAGGATGAGTTGTCAAGTCTCCTAATTTTTAGGGATCGATAATGACTCCCCATACAAAAAGGGATAAAATGATGAAAAATGAAAATGATAAAAGAAAAAAGAGAGAAAAAATAAGAGGAAAAAAGAGAGAAAATATTACATAAAAATAAAATAAAAAATGATAAGAAAGAAAAAGAACAAAAGAAAAGCATAAAAATACTATGAGAAAAATTAACAAAATCTCATATCTAATATGGACCGATGTTAACCCAAATCGATCACATCTTAGCAATTAGTTTGTTCTTCGACATACCAATTATGTCGAGACTTAAATTAAATCCGATATTGAACCGACGTGACGCTTAACAAAGGGGTTCGACGATCGGTTTAATATGCTATCATAGACAAAAATAAAAAAAAATTAATTTGGCATAGGAAATAGAACTTAGAATTTTGACTTAGGATCAATATTGACAAAAATAGAAAATTTTGAAAGATAAACTTTAGGACTAAACTAGATGTGATATCTTTTATAGGAAATGATATTTTTGGATGATTATATATTCCCAAAGGCATAACCAACTACTTAATCAAGAATCTTTAAGTCATTGTTTATTTTAGATTTTTAATTCTTTTAATTCTAAAGGACTATTTCAAAATCAATAATAACTCATATCTTCGTAGGAACAAAAATTTTCAATAAAAACAAATCAATAACTTAAATTTTTTTGGAGTTCCAGAAAAGTGGGATAGCGACACTTGTGATCATGCACCGTTATTGAACAAACCATTAATATAATTGGCAGGGGCAATTTGGGTTGTTTTGGCTATCAATACATATTGATCAGTTTGAAGTAGGTGTCTCTGATCATGCATGTTTGGTGATTAGTTTAATTACTGAAAACGCAAGCTATGCGATTTTTATAACTAACCTAATATAGAATGCCGTTCAGTTGTGACACGTTAGAAATCAAGAAAACTTTAGAGCTATCGCGTCGTGCAACTAGGGCACAGGTGAGAGGCCATGAAAAATACAGACACGCGAGCTTAAAGAATCTCTATAGGGGGGCCGGAGAAGATGAATACACGGCACAATTATATGTAGAGAAGGCCATGTATGTATCTTTGGATTCAGTATGGTGGTCCATGACCCGATATTGTACATTTCGATAAATCAAAAGATAAAATATAGTAGCATGTCCAAGCTTATGACAGTTCATGTATGTAAGGATAATAAATTATGTTTCATTGAAGATGGAAGTGGTGGGTGGGAAATTCTTTTGGATCTTGATAACATGATTGTGATGCATTTGCCAGGTATTAGATTCATAGAAAATATATTTTTGTCACCTTTAAAAAAACATTCCTTTCAGGTCAAAAGAACCACAGGCGTATATATTCACGACATTCCTTGCACATACATTCTACCCAGCTATTGCCAAATGTAATATCACATCGTTTATACTCCTTGACGTGAACTGGTCTCACCGTGTCGTCCACTTGCAATCATTTTTTCTGCAATATTCCTGGTTTTTCAGGCGCATAGCGTCATATCGTTAGTGTCACCTGTTGTTGGAACTCAATTCGCACCTACTTATACTGCTCATCATAAATTATATTTTCTTTTATAGATCTGTTACGAAACCTTTAAAATGCTAACTTATCTTGTGAGTGAGTTTGCTCCATGTTTTATAATTTTTTGAAGTTGCTATTGTTTTTGATTCGATAAAAAAGAAAAAAGCCTTCGACAACGTTCCATGCACGGCCAACACCTCTCGGATTTGCCAGCCACTTTCAACCGACCATCGATCAAATCCCCCTTTATATATATATATATATATATATATATATAAAGAATTAAACAAATTACGGAAAGCTGTGGCCACATACAATTGCATCTACTGTTATGAAACTTAATTGAATCACTAGCTTTCTCAACTTAGGTGCCAAAGGCGATGATCATATTTTGAGATGTTATTTCTTTTAAAGCTTTATTGCGTTGGATTCCCTTAAATAGTCAAATTCGTTTGTCAAGATAGGATCAAACCATAAAAAGGAATTAGGTTTGACTGTTTTCAACCTTTATTCATGTGTTATACATATGCTAATTCTGTTCACCTACTAACCTAATGGTTTATTCATGGGGTTATTAGTAAGTAACCTTCCCAATCCCAATCCCAATCCCAATCCCAATCCCATAACCCTTTTCGTTTTTTTTTTTTTTTTTTGCACATACACTAATTACAAGTAAGAGATTTAATTAAGTCATGTATACAAAGATTAGATTCGATTTAATGACATAATTTATCTCTAAATTATTAGAATTATGGCAAAGTAATGTTTATATTATCAATTTAGTATATGACTATTTAGACTTCAAATTATTAATTTTTTTTTAGTAAATTTTATCTTTTTTCATTACGTTTGACTATCAAAATGTTGATCGTTAGTTGAAATTCTTAAAATGATGTCGTTTTAAGCATTCCATTGTTTTAGAATTAAAATTAGTTGTAAAATTTTTTTTTATAATAATTATCCTTAAGGAAGCTTAAATGATCTTATGGTTTATGAATCGACTTTTTTTATTGGATAAATAGTGATGTTTAATGAATCCATCTAGTAAAAAAAATTAAATTATTAAATAGTTTATGAAATCAAATTTAATTCTAAATAAATTAAAATAATTAAAATGATGCAATAATGTGTAAAAGATCTATCTAGTAAAAAATGAGTTATTAAATATTTTTTCAAAATTAATTTTAATTCTAAAAAAATCTGAAATAATTAAAATGATACGTTTTAGCATTTCAATTAACAATCAATAATTAAATCATTAAACACCATAAAAAATTAATAATTTAAAATTCAAATAGTCTAAATTGATAATATAAATTTTATTTTACTACAACTCTATAGTTGAAAATAAATTATATCATTAAACTAACTAGATTAAGAGGCAGTTATAATGATAAAGTTCATCCAATTTAGGACATAACTGCTCCAATTTTAGTAGAAGATTGATACAAGCTAGGAGATTTTGGTGGATTGAAAAAATTTCTAGCAACCTATTTGGTAAGAATGTGGTTTCCGTGTAACAATGGTTTCTTATAATTTTTTTTTCTTCCTTACCATACGACTCTTTCTTGCTAGTGAAAGGCAGAATTTAAGGGTAAGAAGCAGAAATGATTCCGTGAAATCAAGAATCATGTAATAATGAAGACAAGATAAAACTATTTCTTAGAAAAAAAAAAAAAAAAAAAAGGCCATCACCATCCCGGAATCGTTGGTTGTCTTCATTTCTCTCCCGTTAGATCACATGATCAAAAATGCCATCAACGATTAATGACCAATGAAGCACCGTCCACCTCAAAAGCACACAAATATTTTCTCATTCCAAATATTGGGTTTCTTGACTTTTTGATCCCCTACAATTCTACTCTTAACATACCAAACCGTATACTACATAAATAAGCAATCAAGTTCTTGAATTTCTAATTTTTTTTTTGGCAAAATGCCAATACGTGCCTTCCTTCCCGATAGTCTTGAAAATTCTCTGCTATAAAAGGCATTGTACGTCAAATAGTGGACCCCAACCCAGTAAGACTGTAAATGACTGAATACTTCATTTCTAAACAATATTTGATGCACTCATCATCTAAATTATATATTATTTTTTAATTTTATTTCAATTCAAACTCGATATATTTTTTTTGGACTGAAAATTTAATAAACATTATACTAGACAGAAGAGAGTTATTTTTATTTTTATAATCTCATCGTATTATTTTTTAGATTTGAACTTGAAATTTTAAATAGAAATTTTGAAACTTAACTATTAAGTTTTATAATAATGTAGGAAAGAGAAACTATCATATTTTAAGAGTAAAATATTTGAAATTCATAGGAAAAATGGACGGAGGTTGCAAAAAAAAAATCAAATCCGAGAATTGGATAGCACAATTGCAAAATACAAGGGTCAATATAATAAGAATAAAATATTTGAGGGATGATAATTTATTATTACTACAAAACCATAAATATTGACAATCTGACATTATTACCTCTCTCTCTCTCTCTCTCTCTCTCACTCAACGCTGGTTCCTGTCAGTTCCTGCTCAAAAATCACGCCCCCTCTCCTTCTCTCTCCAAGCAGCCACTGTTAATTCACTGGAACTTACCATATTTTTAGAATAAAAAACAAAAATTAAAAATAAAAACACCTATAAAATCAGCACAGCTCATCACCTAAAGAAAAGCACTCTCTCTCTCTCTCTCTCTCTACATTTCCTCATGAGAACCAGCGGGACTATCAACAACCGGTGACTTGCAACGGCGTCGTTTTTTAAACAACTCCTATTATTTCATGGCGAAGGAAGAAAACGACGTCGTGTCACGGACCTTCCGCGCTTTAGTAGAAAGCGCAGACAGAAAATTCGCTCGAGTACGAGACCTTCCATTGTATGGACGTGCTCCACAGAATCACTACTTCCTGAAAGTGTTCAAAGCCTACATGAGGTTATGGAAGTACCAGCAAGAGAACCGGTCGAAGCTAGTTGATTCCGGCTTGAACCGGTGGGAAATTGGAGAGATCGCGAGTCGGATCGGGCAGTTGTATTTTAATCAGTATATGAGGAGCAGTGAAGCTAGGTTTTTAGTTGAAGCGTATGTGTTTTATGAAGCAATTTTGGAGAGGAAGTATTTTGATGCCGGCGGAAGTGGTAAAGCGAAGGTTGATGTTGGTGTTAGGTTTAAGGAGTTGAGATTTTATGCTCGGTTTTTGCTTGTTGCTTTGATTTTGAACAAGATTGATACGGTGAGATTGCTTGCTGAGAGGTTTAAAGGTCTTGTTGATGATAGCAAGACGAATTTTCGAGTAAGTTGATTTTTTATTTTATTGTATTTTATTTTGCTTTGATTATTTTTTTCCCCTGGAAGGAGAAAATGTGTAGGTTTTGTTGATTATTTAGTTGAATTTTGGCATGAGTGTTTTGTCTCTTTTGTAGGATATTTTGTTTTTTTTGTTTTTTTTTGTTTTTTGGTTTTTTTTTAATATATATATATATATATTTGTTAATTTTTATTTATGTTGATTTTTTTTCTTTTTTTGGGAGAGAGAATTTATTAATTGAGCTTGGTAAAGGATTTTGTGGAATAGGAGATGGTGAAGGTGATTTTGAAGAAAATCGTGCAGAAAGGCAATTTTTCAGGTTTTTTAGAAGTCAGTTTGCTGAATTTGTGAAAATTGGAGCTGAATTTTAGGTTTGTAAGGTGAAAGTTTAAGAATTTTTATGTTTTAGGATGGTAGAATGAAAATTAAGCTTTTGTTTGGCTTTTAAGGAAAAGAAATTTAAAATTTTTGAAGTTATTTTGGTGCTTTGTTTCTTGGGATGGGTTCCAATCCTAATGTATAGAAATTGTTGCAAAACACTGGATTGGCTTTCCTTTTTCGTTTACCTGGAAATAAAGACCTTAAATTCTGCTCCAAATAAAGCACTAGCAATCCTAGAGAGATAGAGGGCAGACCTAGATCATTTTACCGATGAATTTTCAAAGATTTACATGGTCATCTACTTTAAACAGTTCTTTGAATAAAGTTGACACGCTGCTATGGGAGCTTTTCGTGGTGTAGATCGGTAAAGTTAGTATTGTGGGACCTCCCAGCTGGATGTGGCATCTGATTTTATGTGATTTTCGGTGGACGATTTTTTTTTCCTAATTGTTCGTATGTGAAATCGATTTGGGTTATATATTATGGTCAGGTCAATTGCTGTAGCTATCTTTTCTATAAAAACACCCTATTTTGACAGAAAGGAAGCATGGCCCTACAACTTCAAATAGAGGTTACTGAATTATTTTACTGTTATGAGAATTGGTGAAGGTAGAGGCAGGAGTGAAAATGATGTCTTTCTGAGTGTAGGGGAAAGGCATTTGCAGAATTGGTGAGTCAAGTGGTGTTAACTTCAGTTGAGTTGCCTGCTTGACAAGGCAACTGACTGACTCATATGAGTATTGTCTTCCAGTTTTAAAGAAAGACTGGAAAGTGGGAAAATGATAGAAATGAACAGAAATAAAACCAGTCTCAATTCCACTAAAAATTGTGGCTGTAATGATGATGATCTTTGTGGTGTGTAATTGGGTCAAAAGTGTTGACTCCTGAAGCAGTAAGTTTTTGAAAGACTTAAACACCTGAAGGGCAAAAGCCAAAATGTGGTGGGTGCATGGATTATTCAAAAATTAACTCTTAAAATTTAAAAGACAATAATAATCATTTAAGTTGTCTTTAGATCCTTAAACTTTATCGGTCCAGAACAAAAAGGTGAAGTGGGTGTATATAGGCATCGTTTAGTTTTTCTTTATCCTTCTGACCATCTATGGAGCATCAAGTCAAAATGGTTAACAACACCAACAATGCTCAGAAACATTAGAAGTTAGTTTAGTGGGCCTAGTTGCTGTGGTTTTTCCAATGTGATAATTGATAGATCATTGCCAAAAATTGAGGTTTAGCAATATAATTTATGAGGCTATGATGAGTGAGGCAATGGACGCAATTCCAAGTGTTGCTTCTTATATGGTAGAACGAATAATTCACACACCGAGTTTGATCTTAACGAGGCATTTCTTAAATATGTCCAAATTAATTGGAGAAAATTATCAATTTTCTATGCCATTCATAAGTTCAAATACTGCATATAACTTTCTGTTTACACTTGCATGAACAAGAAAAAATGGATTATTTGTTCTCAGGAAACAAACTTCAAAGAATGGAAGCTAGTGGTGCAAGAAATTTTCCGCTTTATGGAAGTTGATACTGCATTCACAAATGTCAGGCCTTTGCGGTACTGTGCTCTGTTTGATTCTCATCCAGCTTCTCGTCCTTGTTTGGCTCGTTTCCACGCAAGGAAGATTGTAAAATTTAAAGATGCGCTCTTGACAAGCTATCATAGAAATGAGGTAAGATGTTTTTTAACGTTTGTATGACTGGTTATTCATAAGGTCCTTGACACTTGAATTGGGAATTTGCCTGATAAGAGATTTTTTATAACTGGTTACATTGTTTGTCATTTCAGGTTAAATTTGCAGAACTTACTTTGGACACTTACAGGATGATGCAATGTTTAGAATGGGAACCTAGTGGATCTTTATACCGAAAGCGTCCTATTGAATCAGTTCACCTAAACCGTCCAGTCGAATCAAATGAAAATGGCACTGTAATTGATCACTCTGGTGCTGCTTCTGGATTGATAGATATGAACTTGGCTGCAGATTTGACTGATCCAACTTTACCACCAAATCCCAGGAAAGCTGTTCTTTATCGTCCGTCAGTGACCCATTTGCTAGCGGTCAGTTCTGAAGCTTTACGTTATTGATTTTACTTAAGTTACCCTTTTCTGTTTGCATGCCACTGTTAGGTTGCATTGCTTTCAGAATGAAGTAATTGTTAGTCATTTTTATAAGGCTTTTCTGGTTGCATTATCAGGATTTCCTGGCAACCAGGCCTCATTTGAATTTTTGCATTTCTTTATAGAAAAATGATACTGATTCCTTCCCTCGTGTGGAGCACAGTTATAGTCAGTGTATGTTGTGGCATAATTTTTTTCTGCAATTAAACTTTGAATTGGGCGATTATATTTTTCATTTAAAAGGCAGTTATGTCAGAGGTAGATCACAGCTCAATTTAACAAAACCTTATACAAAAATACATAGTGTACTCACTGAAAACCATGGTACAAGTATACTTCTGACATAGTTTTCCATTAGAAATCAGTGGCTAGGGCTCATATATAAGTTTGTGACCATTTCACATTTCTTCCTTGAGGGCATTTTTTATTTTTCATTCCCTTCATTGGGTTGGGAGGCTGATTTCAGATTGAATACATTATGCACGCACAGGTTATGGCAACAATTTGCGAGGAGCTCCCTCCAGAGAGCGTTGTGCTAATATATCTATCTGCCTCAGGTTAATGATCCTCCATAGTGCCAGTAAAATTCAACAGATTTGTGTCTCATTATCCTAGGCTAATGGTCTTAATGAATACATTGTTCAGGGAAGGCTGCTCGAAGTAATCTTTCTCAGGCAGAAAGCTCTGGAGGATCCAGGAAATCTTCCAAAGAAAAGGTTGTCTCTGGAGCATACAGCGAACAGAGAAGCTCTGTGCCTGAATCTCATTGTAACGGCAAGAGAGAGTCAAGTGACTACTATGACAATTATCTCTGGTTAGGTCCCCGGGCGAATGGTGGTGAGTGGCTGCACTTCTCTGCTACTCTTCCTAGTGTTTAGCCTCAGTTTGTTATTCCAAGTGTAATTATTCCCAACTATACTAAAATTACTTATCTCCTTCCTGTTTTGCTGTTCCACTCTAAGGTGTGATGCTTTTGGATTTTCAGGGTCAAATGCCCTTTACCCTGGCGATATAATTCCTTTTACTCGAAGGCCTCTTTTCTTGATTATTGATAGCGACAACAGCCATGCATTCAAGGCAGGTTTGTCATAACCTGCGTATGATTTGTCATACAATTTGGATTTATTGTGCCGGTCTATATTTTTTAGAATCGATTTTTTTCTGGCTTGTGAGTGAGATTTTTCATGTCTACAAATATTATTGAGCGTAATGGATTGTGGCATATACTTGTCATTGGTGAGTGTGTCTGTGTTTTCGGGGGAAGAGAAAATATGTTGCAGATTGTTCAAAAAATATATATATGTGTGTGTGTTGCAGAGGATCTTTCTACATCCAATATTGCATTAGTGCATGCATTGGAATAACTTGGCTGTTTACATGCGTAGGCAGGTTAAAATTGCACTACCTTTCATCAAACAAACTTTTGGGCTTAACTTGCTATCCGTTATGCCAATTTTAAACTGATTGGTTACTGATTTGTAATTTGTTTTAGGTAATAAATTTGTTCATTAAAGATGTAGATCAATATCTGATATGTATAGATGATAATACCTATTGGTATAATGTACTTGACAATTGCCACATTTCTATATGAGAAATTGTGAACCAGAGCAATCGATCTACAAAACACGTTTAATCTAAAGCTGGTCTGGTGTGTTCAACTGGTGCTCATAGTAGATTCAAAAGCTTAAGTGGTATATTCAACTGACACACAGTACGTAGATCTATCGAATTTAATCCCTTAAGCAATATGCTAGAGCTGATTTACTGTTGACCTCCTTTGTTAGCGAGTTTGATGGAATTAATTCATTAATCTTTAATGGATTAGGGAGGAAGCAGCTGAGCACATAAAGCCTTGCCTTATAACATGTATTTAGATCCGATTACTTTCTACTGAGGTCGAATTGCCATGCCAGCATATTTTCAATGGGATTTGTGAGGCAAATATTATCAAAACTTATTTTTCTGTTATCTGCAGGGTGCATCATACATAGGATTTTCTGCGTTTCAGCCTTGCGCTTTAGAGTTCTGGTCTATCTGTCAAGTTGCTTATTTGAGAACTGTGGATGATTTCTCAGGTCCTGCATGGTGCAGAAAGGGGAGAGCCAGCTGCCTTGCTTCTTTCACCTTTGAGACCAGCATTCAAGAACCTATCTGCTGTCGATACAACACATAGGGGAAGTCAGTTTACCTTTTTCTTGACTGCTCCTCTGCAGGCATTTTGCCAGATGGTTGGCCTCACTTCTGGTGATAGTGATATGGTAAGTTTGTTGGCCCAAGTTCTTAAAATTTTTTGATAATCTTGTTATTCCTGGTTGCTCTTTTTTTGCTAACAGGACTGTGCTTTTAGGGTTTTTACAATGGTGCTGAGGAGATGCTCTCCACTGCATTCTCTGAGTGGGAGGTTATTCTTTGTACATCGAAGGGCCTGGATCTGGTTTGGGCACAAGTTTTATCAGATCCATTTTTACGGAGGCTTATTCTTAGGTATATTTATCTGTCAATAGAAGCAAATTAGTGGTAAACTAGGAAATTATTCAATATTCTTTATATTATCTGATGGTTCGTGACTTGTGGCTGAAAGGGTATCTTACAGTAATAAGTTGACCATGAAGACAGGACCTTTTTTTTCAATTCTTTGTTGCTTTCTAAAAAATTGATAAAACTTAATAGAATTTGTTTTTAGTTTGGATTCTATTGGATTTTAGCTAATCCACCAACAAATGTTTATGGAATGTGTCTCCAGATTCATATTCTGCAGATCAGTGCTCTCTGTCTTCTGCCCTCCCGAAGATGATGAGCAATATTTGCCCGTTTGCCTACCCAGTCTTCCCAGTTCTGTCTCTGCAAGATCTGAAGTTGTGCAGTCAGCTGTAATTCGGCTGGCAAATCACCTGAAGGTTACAGATTGTTTTCAATTCGGTGACGAGTAAGCAAGATAAAAGTGCAGGTTTCTGGCTTTCCAGTTCAATTAATTTTATGAGGTAAATAACTCCTGGAATTCGAGCAGTTGGCTTGGAGGGCACTTCAAAGGAGTATAATTTGGCGATAGAGGCTGGTGGTCAGGAAGAGAATATTAGCCGAGCATGGTTGCTTCTGCTTGTTTAATCGCTGACGCAAACTTGCTAATTCTTGAGTCTGCATGCTGTGGTTTGCCGTTTTAGGTGGTACTTGATGATTTGCATCTGTGTATGAATATAGCTGCTTAGTTGTTTAGGTGTTAATCGGTGTATAATCTAATTGGTTTTACACTTTTTTAGAGTTGCTAGTGCTAATTTTTTGTACCTCTGTAAAAGAAAATCAGGTTAGTTGAATGGGATATATGTTTTTTTTTTTAAATAAATGAAAAATATATAGGGGCAATGTATTCATACAGTAATGGTGAAGCTGTTGGAGGGGCATATTTATGTAAACAAGTACTAAAATTGAAATTTGGGCATCTTTTTAAATAGCTGTGCAATTTACAAATTTGACCCAGCTTGTTTGGTGCTCTTAGTAGTGATGCGCGAACTCCAGTTGTGCTAAGAAGTCAAAACTTCTCTTTTCTGAATTTTATTCTCACCATATTTTGTTTTTGTTTCTTTTCATATTATTTAAATCTTATTTATATATAACATAATCATTGCAATGTATGTTAATAACAAAATTTAATGTTATTCTGAGATAATTCATGTATGTTGGAAGATCAAATAAGATTTCGTTAATTTTTTGTCCAAAAAAAACAAGTGAGAGAAAATGCAATCTTACAAAAGATTAATCACAAGCAGCATAGGAACGCTTCAATAAGAATCAACGCAGCGTTTTGATAAAAAATTCGCTTAACTATGAAATCCTTCCAAGTTTTCAGGAACGGGTAGGTAGCCTCAAAAAAAAATTTCGAAAACAGATGGGCAGCCTAAAAATATCGGTTTTGTGGACAATTATTTTTTCTTTATTACTTCTTTATTGCAAAGAGTTTGATAATAGTTTGTTTTATTGGTTATGAGTTATGACTTTATTTGTTAGAAAACTCCGCCATTGATGGTAAAGAATCACATATACTCGCAGAACATAAAAGCAAAATATCTTGATTAACATAAGAGTGGATTGGTTTTGAGTGAATATATTTATTAGTTAATTTTTATTAATGGCTAACAGAGCTAAACCTCCATTGAATTTTATTCTATTTAAAAATTAGTCTTGAATTTTTAATTTATGTTTTTAACTCTCTAAACTTTAACTATATATTCCATCTTTAAGTTTTCTGGCATTTATCTCAAAATACAACTATTACATAAATAATCTCATGATAAAAATTATTCAGTAGCATTTATCTGGAGTTCCCTGAAAAATTTGAATCATTCTAGGTTAGTTTTTATTTTTAATGATAAAAAATAAACAAATATAATTTCCAAACTTGAAAAAATCTGAAATTTTTCTAAAAAATGGATTGGATGTTTTCTCAATTTGTGTTCAAAATTTCATATCAAAATACCAAGAATTGATTTTTATAAGAAGATGAGTGATGGTTGAAAATCATAAAATAGAATAAATCTCAAATAAATAAATAAAGTTCAAGAAGGTCACAACACAAAGTAAAATCCAAGAACTTATTTTTAAATAAACTAAAGTTCATAAATGGTTTGATTTTTTAACCTTTATTAATTTATATCAATATTTAATATGATAATTTAATCTTCTGAATAAATGTCACTTGATGTAATTTATTATTGTATTGTTGGTATTTTAGGTGATTGGAAGCATCCATGCACAGAAAGGCAGTTGATTTATATTTATCTTGCAATCATGACGATGGTGTGATGAGTTGAATTCCATTCGTTGTGATTTTCCCATGTTATTCAAAAGATTTTACTTAGTCAATTTGTCTTTGTGGTAAAATTGAACAACAATACCTTTATAGTAGAAAAAAATATTATTTGTTTTTAATTTAGGTTGAAGATATTGGTGGTTATTGATGAATATGATTTCGTATCATTAGAGCTTTGCAGTGATTTGTTCTTTTTTGATTTATGGCAATTTAAATTTATATGTAAACGTGAAATGTTATAAATTTTTGCAAAGACAACTCGAATTTGAGATTTGAGAGTTTCAAGAGTTTCATTTGCAGTCCAAATTGATAAAAAGACCAATTGTTGTTTGGCAATTTTCAAAATTGTTGCTGAGATATCTTCCAAACAGAAAGATTCAATTCCTATTATTGCCATTGTTTACATTATTATGGTATATAAATAGTATTATATTTGTACATCTTTTGAAGCACCAGTTACATTCTAAAAAAAATATGGAAAAGTTTTGACTTGATATATGATCAAAAGTTACTTTAAGTAAAAATAAAAAAGGTGAAAAATATGTTTAGTAATGATAATAATATCATAAGAAAATAATTCTAAAAAAATCTTCAAGCATTCTTTGTGTTTTTCTTTTGGTTACATAAACATTGAGTTAAAATTTATGAGAGAGAGAGAGAGAGAGGCTTTTTTGGTGTCCAATTTTATTTTTAAATTTTTATGTTTGGTGCCCAACCATCGATTTCTCATAATTTGGTACCTAAGCTTTGATTTTTTATTTTTTTATGCCCGAGTTCACTTGAGGTCCAATTTTGCTAACGTGTCCATCGAGATTTATCATATGATAATAAAAAATGCCACGTGGTGGTCAACCCTACCACGTTAGTCAACCATGCCACCCGACCGTCAATTCCGTCACGTTAGCATCTCATACTCTCGTGTAGCTATAGACATTCAAATAGAAAAAAAAATCAAAGGTTAGACATTCAAATAGAAAAAAAATAAAATTAAAGATTGGGCACCTAAATAGAAAAAAATATCAATGGCTAGATACGAAAATTATAGTTTTCTCAAAAAAATTATTTTAGTTTTCTCACACTAGATGTATATCACCTTCTTGTACTCCGATATATCTTTTCTTTGTTATAAATAAATTTTATGCATTTCTTGTGCTTTCATAATCTTTGTATATATTTAATCTCTCAAAAATTTCTTTTTTATATTGAAAATCATATAATTTTAAATTCTAAAAACTTCAACAAGTATATGCATGCATATTTTGTTGTTATTATGCTAATTGCATAAGAAATTTTAACAATACATTTACTTTTTATCTTAATTCATAGTTTAATTATTACTTCTATCATTATCGTCATTACTACAAAAAAAAAAAAAAAATTGCACTTTAAACGCTCAAATCAAAAAGCTTGATCACTAAACTTATTTATGTTGATTCTATCCCATCTAACTTACAAGTTATTGGCTATATCAAACTTATGTCATCCATGATATGTTGGTAAATTTTCTCCCTAGATAAAGTAATTTTTATCTTTTATAACTTTCTTCATTGACCAACCATTTGTTTCGCAAATAGAAATCATAATTGGATCTTATATATCTTTTATTTTTTTAAATTTAATCTTAATTGTACCTTCTATATTTTTGGGTTAAATGACATAATTTTAAATTTGTCTACATCAATAAAAGGTTTTAGAATTTTTAAACAGTATTTTTTTAACTAATACGAGCTACTAAAAAATACCATTGACAAGTAAAATATGCCACAAGCATGATATGAAAAATATTTATTAGAAATTGTTGGACTAATTTTGCAATCTTGAGATAATAAATTTCTTTTTAAAAAAGCATTTTGATACGCAATTTTAAATTTTTTCTGTTTTAATGCCTAACCTTTGATTTTTTTTTCTATTTAAGTGTCCATAGCTACATGAGAGTATGAGGTGCCGATGTTGCGGGATTAAGTACCATGTGACGAGATCTCACCAAACACGTCGGCAAAATTAGACTTCGAGTGAACTCGAACCAAAATAAACAAAAAATCAAAGCTTGGGTAGCAAATCATGAGAAATCAATAATTGGACACCAAAATAGAAAAAAAATAAAAATCAAAGATCGGGCACCAAAAAAGCCTTTCTCTCGTGAAATTTATTATAAAAAACAAAACAGTTTAAAATTTCAATTCAAAGTTTCAACTTTCAAACAAGATATTTTATTATTTTATACCACAACATCAATCCACATCGGATTTTTTTTTTTTTTTTGTAATCATTATTTATTTTATGTGTTATAATTTATTTTTCAACAAATCAAAATAATCCCACCCATCCATCTTTAGTTCCTCACTTTTCTAGAATCCTAAATAAATTTTATCTTTTTTTTTATTTCATTCAGTCTATTCAATCATTACATAGTTTATTTGGGCTAAAAGAGTCAAACCTCCTCCGAAGTTTATTCTATTTGAAAATCGGTTTCGAACTTCTAATTTCATATTTGACTTCTTTGATTTTTATTTTTGAGATTTAATCTATCCTTTGTTTTTTTTTTATCATTTAACACAAAAAAAAAAAAAATAGCAATGACATAAAGTTGTATAATAAAAATCATTCATTAAGATTTATCCGAGACTCTCCGAAAAAATTGTGAACATTCTTGGTTATTTTCTAACTTTCCTAATTTTTTATATTTTTAATGTTAAAAAAAATAAACAAATATACTTCTTGAACTTTAAAATTCCAAATATTTTTCTAGAAAATAAATTGGATTTTTTCCAACATGGAAATAAAATTTCATCTCAAAATATCAAGAATTTAATTTTTTTAAAAAATAAAAGTGATGATAGCTAAAATCATAGGGTAGACTAAACTAAAAATAGTAATAGTAGTAGTAACAACGAATAGTAGTAAAGTTCGGGGAGGTCAAAATTGAAATTAAAAGTTCAAAGACTGATTTTCAAATGAATTAAAATTCGAAGAAATTTGACATTTTTAGCATTTCATGTGTCCATACTATAGTACAACCAAGGTCAAACCAAATTAGCTATGAACACTAAGCAAAACCAACATTTTTTTTTATGATTTTCAAGTAGAGATTACAAAAACCATTATTTTTTGAAGTCTTCTAGTTGAGATTACAATGATGTGTTCTTAGAGAGATCTCGTATTGAAGAGTTACATAGGTCTACATGCATGATAGCTTGTATATAACGATAGATACCACCTTAATCTAAAAATCTAGACCAATGGATTATGGGTTTATTTTATATATAAGCACCTCATTTCTTTTCAATATGAAATAGTTATC